GTAGATCTTTATTTTTTAATATAGGAATTAAATTCCCTCACAAAAGCTGGACAGCATGTGATTTTTTTTCACTCGATAAATAAAAATACTATGTTTTATAAAGAGAATGCTGCTCCTCTTCCACCTCCCATGGACGCCCAGAGGTGACTGTGTCCCCGTGGTCTTGAAGCAGGCCAGCAGTCTCCACACCACCCACTGCTTCCCACTCTGGAGAGGCTGCATCTCGTTCATGCCTGCAAACACTACATTTCTCCTCCTCCACCCTTCCAAACACAAGTCCTGGCATGGAATTTCAAACATTTAATGATTAATCATTAAATTAAACATTTCTGAGAAGAAACAAACCTGGCCTCCACAGAAGCTCAATACTGAGCCCCTGAACCAGAATTGTTAACACCACGAAATGTGAGATTTTGGTACAAGACAAATATCTACTGGACATATTCAAAAAGGGAAGGAAAGAGGCTAATGTGAAATGAAATCTATTGCATGTTGCATAGGCCATCTCTTGTTTTAAAAACAGAATCTCCTATTGAAATGTAACCTGTTTGAAACAGGCAGGCTATCTGCTTCCCCGTACAACAGACCTATTGTTTCTTATGGTGTCTGTTAGGGGTACTGTGCTGCTCACCTCTCTCTGCTATCAGAGACACCTAGACAGTACCAAAATCATAGGCTGTAAAAAAGTGCTCCCTCTACTTGGGGCCTGAAGCTGAAGTCCAGGTCCGTAGCCAGGCCCATTTTTTGGGGAAAAGCACACCTCTGCACTCTGCGCCAACTAATGGTAGAGTCCTTTCTGACTTCAAGAGCAAAGAATGGTCCTGGTGCAACCACAGTGTACAGTGAAGAGCCCCAGAGTGACCCAACTTTTAGCTGGAAAAAGAAAAACTTGTTATGGACTCAGGAGGAAAAGTCACTAAAACTTTAAAGATCTTCCCGTGCCTGCTCTAGCAGTGTACCAACAATCATGACATGAACACTCATCTCCTAAAAATGCAACCAGAGAAGCCAGTGGTCTTCATGGCCAGCAATAACCTTCTGTTCTGGGTTCCCATTTCTCATCGACCATTTACAAAGTGTTCCCAAAAGTGTTTCTAAGTGTGATTGTGATGCACAATAAATGAAGAGGCTGTACCTAGGCTGTAAGAATAATCTCTACTTGTAAAACACAAAACGAGTGCCATGGTTGTGCAAGTTTGCCTGTTTTGGTGGCAGCACTGGCAGCACTGTCACTGAGTGTCCCAAGAGCAGCACTGGAACTGCACCATGCTCTCTCGCCGTCCACTCATGGGGCAGCCTCAGATCCCCAGAGACTTCTGCACAATCTGCTAGGCAATCTTGTAAAACTGCTCCTGTTGGTCCCACCACACTTTGGAAGCATCCATGCTTAACTCCACTTCTGTTGTCACCACCGACAGTGACAGAAGGATCTTCTCCATACTCCACACCAGGTTTCACTTCTTAAATCTGCTCTTGTAAGTCCAGTGGGGTCATTGCCTGGCCTGTGGAGGATGGAGATGAAGTCTCTGCCATTTGGGTAGATGTTATGATGAAACATCTCACAAGTGCACTTCATCTTCTGAGGACTCACCAAACTCAAAACTGGTATTTTGGGGACCCATGATCCATGCTACCTATTCAAAAAAAATTCTCTTCACTTATGGGGCCTGACACAATTCCTTCTGAAGAATTCAGAGTTAGTTGCTTGTACTTGGCTATCAGCCTCTTGAGCTGTGATGTTTGCAGTAGCTGCATCGCCACTTCTACTCACCTGCATCCCAGCACTCAGGTAAGAAGTCTTTCAAGGGAAATTTTGTCAGATTAAAAAAAATGCTTTATATCTCTAAAAATAGTCTGTCTCTTCCAGTTATCCTCCCCTTGTGTTGTTCTGTCATATTTGCTGAAGAATCCACATTGTCAAATCATGATTTTTGAGCATTTTATTAAAACATTATTTTGTTGGCTTTATAATATTTATTCTTTAAAAAATTAGTTGCTGGGGGCAAGGGAGGAGAGGGATTATAAGGTATCAGAAAGTAAATTAGTTGCTTTTCCAAGTATTTTTGTCACTGTTTTCCTTTACTAGAAAGGAGGTCAACCCTCCAGTTTAGTTTTTATCTTAGGTGATTGGCAAGAAGCAAAGACTTTTGACTCATGATCTTTTGGACGGTCTTAAGAAATTAAATGTGGCTAGATATGGAAAGGTCTTGATTTTATCAATAATTAGGTCCTAACAGTATGTAATAGAGGCATTGCTCAGTTATGAAAGAGGACAGTATGTTTCTCTGGAACTTGGGCACTAACCATCTGATGGACATAGCTTCCTTACTTTCAGAGTACAGTCTTCCCCTGGTTCACTGTGATTAGAAATCACCTGTTATCAAGGGTTGAATGTTATAGTGCAGCCTATTATTTCAAATGTACTTAGCAGAGGCATAATAAATCAACCATGAAATGACAAACACACGCTTCTCTAACTTCCTACTGTGGAACCAGATAAGCAGGAGAGCTTGTAGATTATAATCATTTGGTTGCAAAATATTCATGCATATGTAATTTTCCACACAAAACCTGACAGGTGTAATAGTAACTGTTTCATGACTAACAGGTCACGAAATAGTAGAGAAATGAGGAATTTGCTCTCAGTTTGCCCCCTCCCCCGCAAATAATCCTTAACAAACTATTCTATCTTCATCTTATCATCTAGGTGCTATGGTGATGTGGTTTGTCCTGCAAAGGATCAAGTGTTGGAGGAATGGTCCTCATTGAAGTGATTGAACCATTAAAAGGTGGGAACTAGTGGGAGGTGGTTAGGTCATTGGGGGTGCCGCCCTCGGGGTTAATGCTAGTCTCATTGAGTGAGTTCTCTTAAGAGCAGGCTGTTACAAAAGAGAAAGCCAGCTCCTGAGTCACTCTCTGGATTCTTGTCTTACCATGCTTCTGCCATAATGCTATCCATCATGTGATATAGCCCAGGAGGCCCTCATTGGAGGCTGAACAGATGAAGCTGCCCTATCTTGAACTTTCAGCCTCTAAAACTACAAACTAAATAAACCTCTTCAGTTTATAAGGTACCCATCCTTGAGTATTTTATTATAGCAACATAAAATGAACTAATAAGGTAGGCTATTGTCAAAATGCAATAATGTTAGTTATAGGTCTTGAGCAGAATGAATTACAGAAAAAAAACTCAATGAATTATAGCTTGAAAATGAAAGCTGTTTGGTAACATGAAGATGGTATAAAATCTGATTGATTCAATAATCACTATCCATTTGAATTTTTTTCCTAAGAAAAATATCTGTAACAATCTCTAAAAGATCAAGAAAAACAATGCTCTCTAATTTAGCTACTAGAATAAAGATGATTTAGCATAAAATTTAAAGAACTCTAATTATGTAATATCCTAAATAACCTTGAATTGTACACTTTAAGTGGGTAAGCTTTGTAAAATAAGAATTATGTCTTAATAAAGCTGTTAAAGAAATGTTTTGGATAAAAAGAGATTTCGGCCTAACTGAATGAGAAAGGTCACAGGTGATATCTGAATGTTCCAATCTCATTCTTGAGAATTTGATTTGATTTGCTTCTTCCTCCTGAAAAAGCAAGTGTCTCATTTTAGTCTACACTGGGAGGAAACAGGAAGGGAACTACTGCTGCTGTTGGCTTATGAACTTTGTTTTTGCAGACCAAGGATTGAACCCAGGGATTTGTACATACTAGGCAAGCACTGTACCACTAAGTCACATCACCAGCCCTAGAAGCCACAGTACTAAGGTTTTCCTTCCAATATTTAAAAGAACAGTGACAGGTAGTCTTTGTGATTCCTTATCAAGATGGCAATACAGACAGCAATAGAAATCCAGTAAACTAAAGAAAGAAAAGTATCCCTGTTTGTCATGTTTTTTGCTAGGGTTTCCCAGATTCTGAAACCATGTAGAAACAAGCACCATTTGTCAACAATTACCTTTGTCAGACAGTTGTGTGGCTAGATATCTGCTAAGTATGTTACTAGTGAATATGACTAGAGTATTCCACACAGTGAACATTCGTATTTCTGTAATCATCATCATGCAATAAAAATCCACTAACAATTTTCAAATGCTTACCAATTTCAAAAACACATTAAATGGAAAGTGACATTTTAAGTTAGGGTGGGTACAAGTAGGAGAATCAGTTCTACCTTAAATGGACTATAGTGCAACATTGTAGGTTAATTCCCTTAAGGTGAATTCAATCTTATTACCATAATTCCAAAAGCTTCTAAAAAATTGAGTGCTCCAAAGATACAGTCTTGGTTTTTATGCTGTTTGACATTGTTGGGCAGCCTTTGCTTGCTATTTATGAGGACCATTTAGTAACCAAAACTCAATATAGCAGGGAGGAGACAAATTAGGAGAGTCCTCACAGGAAGAGGAGAGATTTATTTGACATCTCATCAAGATAAATGAAGCCATTTCAGGAGAGAGAGAGGGGGGGAGGAGAGAGAGGGAG